TTGCACTCTCCCTTCAGGACTACATCCCTCGATCGCTGACTCCCCAACCTAGGGCCCCAAAAAAGCACATAAGCAAAAATTAGGATAGGGATATCCCATATAAACCCCCTTATAATGAAGCCCAATAAGGTCGGGATATCCGTATAACATGCTTATGCTTATGTCCTTTTTGGGGCCCCTAAGGTAGAGGGCTGTGGGAAGCTGAATGTGTGAGGTTTGGTTCCGTGGCTGCCTAAGGCTTGAGCTTGGCACAGGGCTTGATACGAGGCTTACCCATATAGGCTCCATTGTAGGTCCTTTTTTGTGGTTTATGCAAAAGGAACTACAATGGAGCCGCCTAGACTTGGAGCAGCAGGCTTGGCTTTGAGTCTTCCCCTACACCCTAAACCCTAAACCCTAAACCCTAAACCGTGGGATTCTTACAAGGGTTTCGCAGAAAGTTTTTCTCGGGAGCTTGTTGCGGGCCTAGACGCGAGTCGAACGGCTCTCATCCCCTCGAAACGAGAAACTCCGCAGAGCAGCACTGGGTGCAATGTCATCAACACTGGCACTTACCATTTTGGGGATAAGACTGGCGAATGTTGCTAGGCATAAGACACTTGGAAGAGAAGCCCTGCACCCCGTTAAAGCCCCTAGATCACTCGTTCCAAAGCTGTTGAAGTCTTCTAGTCAACAGCCGCAAAAGCCCCTCAGGCGCTGAAATCCCGAAGCCGATGACCGAAACCCTAAACCCTAAACCCTAAACGGGCCTGTAGACCTCGACGTCCGACTGAAGGGATGCTACCTCCTCGGATCCAACTTCAGCCGCTGTAAGGATTGTGGCGTTTGGGTTTGGGAGTTACTTGGAGGTTCATGGGTACTTATAAGTACGGTTATATATAACTACCCATGAGCCTCCAAGTATAGGGTCTCAGCACTCACACTCGGACTTGCCTGTCCTGGTATGACGATTTATCAGGTTAAGGGGTATTTCCCTTTAGGGTTAACTGACGGTTTGGGGTTTAGGGTTCAGGGCTCAGGGTTTAGGGCTTAAGGTTTACGGTTAACTCGGACAAGAGGTTTCGAGGCTCAGACAAGCGCAGAGGCAAGGCTTCGAGGCAGACTGTCTCAAAGTGCTAAGATGACCTACCCTAAACTAACCCCAAGCAGCCACCATCCGCCACCTACAGTAGTTGTGTCGCCACGAACTGACTTTCCATAACTAACACACAAGTCTAGTGGAGAGAAAAGCGCAAAGAAAACACGATGATAATGCCAAGAAAGGGTCGGATGGAGCATTTAATGTGGAAGCTACTTGTCTATAGGGGTTACACATAGCCTACGGTTTTCCCTACACCCGTAACCAAAAAACAAACACAACATCACATCACACACTGTAAAAATGATTATAGCACATCTTAGAACATACCAAATGTATAGAAACACTGTGTCATAATATAACTTTACAGATCTAGATAGATAGAGGTTTACTTTAATCCATACAGCTGAAGTTAATACTGTAGGGGCCTTAATAATGAGAATAGGGTTTTGGGGGGTTCCTTATTGTAATTATAGAGTATAATATACCCCAAACCCTATTCTAATTATTGAGGCCCCTATAATTCAGTTTGACATAATGGCTAAACCCTTTTTTGAACCCAGGCTCTTTGCTATCAGCTGGCTAAACCCTAAGCCCTGAACCCCTAAACCCCAATACCAATACTTTAGGAGGGACTTCCATATTCACCCCAACAACCTACAAGGGTCCCTATTAAGGGTCCCTCCTAAAGCCCTTAATGGCTCCTCCTTGGCTGAGCGGAGCTGGGCTTCCGTGGCTTCGGCAGCAGCCGAAGCTTCGCCCACCTCCACTGGAAGAAACATCATGCGGACCCCTTGGGACTTTGCCCTAAACCCTTAAACCCTTTTTTTCACAAGGGACTCTGCTGCTGCCCTTACTGCCCAGCTTGACCCACAAGCCTAAACCCCTAAACCCTAAATCCCCCCTTTGGGCTTGGTAGGGTTTCAGCACTCACAACTGCGACAAGCCTGGCGAGTTTCCAAGTACGTCGAAAGCACATTGGCTAGGGCAGCCACGTGTAGGGATTAGTGTTTGGGATTTAGCGGTCTTGCAAGGTTTATCATGTGGGCTTCATAACATCATGTGGGTAGTTCTCGAGATTAGGGTCCTTTTTGGGTCCTTGCAAGGATGTCGTACTTTTCTGGGGACCCTGTTTTCGAGAAATACCGCTGTGGACCTTGGGATTTAAGGCTTTGGGGTTCCGGGTTAGGGTGTAGGGTTTTTTTGGTTCATGTAGACCGGATGAAGGCCCTTGGGTTGTTCGGACATTCTTGTTTGGTCTTCTTCCGGTTTCTGGGAATTGTAGGTCGCCGGGGGCCATGCGGAAGTTTACTTTGGGGAAGTCGGGGCTATGAGGATTTTGAGAGGATGAGAAGCTCCTGAATGAACGGTTCCAAGTTTTGATAAGGAAGGGCCTTTTGGCAAAACGAGTATTCCCCAAAAGCTCGTGGTGGCATTCCAGAAGCGAGGGAACAATTTGCAAACAGTGCTCCGCACCACAAGATTCTGACGTCTGCCAGACCTCTGCCTTGAAAGAAGACCCAGAACCGAAACCCAAAACGCAAAACCCCAAATCGTAACGAACACCCACTATCCCTGATCCTAAACCCTAAACCCTATAAACCCTAAACCCTAAATCTTAAACCCTATAAACCCTAAACCCTAAATCCTAATCCCCAAACCCTAAACCCTATAAACCCTAACAGAAAAAACCTCTGATCCTTAACCCTAAGTCCTAAACCCTATAAACCCTAACAGAAATACCGCGCGTCGAATCCAAAACCCCATCCTGACGGCCGCACCCTCGTCTCCAGAGCGGCCGCAGTGCTGCGGCTGTCCTTGTGAAAAGCAAGATGAGCAAAAGAGGGCTTAAGGGTTTAGGGGTTTAGGGTTTGGGGTTTCAGCACTCGCGACTGGGACAGGCCTGGCGAGGTTTGGGGTGTTTAGGGTCTAGGGGGCAAGAGAGAGAGAGCACGCTTAAAGTCATAGATGATTTTTAACGTCTGCGGGCTCAGGGAAAAGAAAGAGAAAGCGAAAGAGAGAGAGAGAGAGAGAGCGAGAGAGAACAAAATAGCAAAATAACGCCTAGAGCCCTTTTAGGGTCTGCGGGCTTAGGGAACAGAAAGAGAAAGCGAGAGAGAGAGAGAGAGAGGCAGAGACACACACACACACACACACACGGAGGCCCGTGGACCTTAGTACACCAGACTTTTGGGCTAGTGTGAGACTTAGGGCGTCACTTCACAATCTTGGCTTGGCTTTGAAGCGCCCAAAAGCGTATACAATCGAGGATGCTCAGGATGCTCCTCAACCCGACCTCGGTTCCCCACCGGAAAAGACCCTCCAAACACATCCCGAAACCGTAAACCCACAGCTCCAAACCCGGAACCCTTACCCAAAGGGTCCTATAGGTACTGCTATGGGGGATACTTTCCCAAATCATAGTAACAATTCCTGCTATAGAAACCCTACATTCTACCATATAGGTACCTTGGACCCTTTGGGTTAAACCAAACCCTCACAAGCTGAGACATGCAGTCCTCGAGCTGGCTTTGAAGCTCTTGTGCCTGGGCCATCTCTCAGTATTTGGCTCGTAGATTTAAGCTTTAGGTTTTAGGGATTAGGGTACTTAGGGAGTTTGTAGATTAAGCTTTAAGGTTAGGGACTAGGGTACAACTTGAGTTCGTAGATTGAGGCCTCCGGGACTGAAGGGTTACATAAGGGTTCAGACCATCACCCTCGAACCCCCGAGCCCTAAACTAGGTCCTTACCCATAGGCTCCATTGCAGTGCCTCGTTGGGGTTACCTTATAGGACCCAAAATATAAACCGCCAAAAAAAGAACTACAATCGAGCCTATGGGTCATATAGCAGCTTTAACACTCGAACCCAGGTCGGTGGAGCGCGTGGTGCTCACTAGGGCTCAGAGTTCGGGATTCCTGAACCCTAAGCCCAGGACCAAAAACCTGAAAGTTCAGGGATCTCGGATTCTGTCTTTAGGGCTTCCGCGCTGCCCTAAACCCGAAGCATGTTCGGGTTTAGGGTTCAACACCCACCATAGTTGCCCCAAGCCCCCGAAGTGCAGAGGCCTGGGTTGCAATCTTCAACAATCCTGTAGTCGGACTCCGGATCTTGAAGTTGAGATGCGCCATCGACAGCCCCAACTCCCTGTTGCCCCTGACATCTTGCATGCACCCCAGAACCCCGGCACAAAAGCCTTATAGAACCCTTCTCTATAGTTATGTTACCATTACAGCATCCTCATAACCCCTAAGCAAGAAGGCCTCTCAACAGCCTTATGAAGCCCTTATAACCCTCATATCACGGCCTGAAAGAAGTCTGAGAAACGCATCTGAGAAGATTGCCTTCACCGTCGCAGCACTCTCTTTCTCTTTCGTCTCCTAGAGCAGGCGACGCCCCGGGAGGATCCTCTACTTGGAGGTTCATGGGTAGTTATAAATGGGGTTATAAGTAGGGGAACTGCAAGTATAACCCAGGTTAGGGGACTTATAATCCCACTTCTAACTAAATATGAACCTCCAAGTAGAGGCCGCAAGGCTACTCACACATCCCTCATCCTCAAAATCCAAACCCTAAACCCTACCCTAACCCTCCAGGTACCTACTGTATAGGGCCCTGATTAGGGGCTCTAGTACCCTCTATAGTAGGTAGCTGGAGGGTTAGGGCTAAACCAAGAGCCCAACAATCTTCATGCTCCAGGGGCTTCGCCCCTGAAGCAGTGTCTTGAAGTTCTATGATACAGGGGGCTCCTTATTATAATTACAGCATAATCTACACCCAATATAGGGGGGGTTCCTTATTACAACTGTGGTATAATATACCCCAACACTCCAGTCTAATTATTAAAGCCCCTACACTACTTAGGGGTTTAAGGCTAAATTCCCAAGCCTACTCTTCTGACACCCTACGCCCTACTTGAAGTCTAGTTTTCCAAACAGGGAGCCTCCCAACCGAAGTCTCGAGCCCCGGACCCTGAAAACCCAAAGAGCCGGCACTAAATCCTCGAAAGCCTGAATGCCAAGTCCTTCTTGTAGTGGAGAATTAATAATTGAGAGTAGGGTTTCGTGCGATGTTACAGCAAGCTTAATAAGTTGATAATTTACATATACACACATGTATATATATATATATAGAAATATATCTATACATATACATGTGTATATATATATATATATAAGAGGACTAGAAAGGCAGACTATTATTAAATGTTCCGATAACCCTAAACCCCAAACCCTACCCTTTAAGCGGGTCCTGCAGCTGCACCTCCAAGTCGGCCGTCGCTTGCTTCGATGCTTGAAGCTCGGCCTCTTCCAGGACCGTCACACTTCGAGTTGGGTGAGATTTACGCCCGTTTATGAGGGGCTTGAGGGGGGTACAGTCGGAGGGGTTTGAGGGAGTGCAGACTGTGCCGTGCATGGCTTGTAGAGGGTTCCATACCGTTTTCTGTTTGCTCCTGTGATGGAATAATGGGTACCCTAAACCCTAATCTGGGTTCTTGTTAAGGGATGTAATTTAAGTAACCCTAACAAAGAAACCCTATTAATTACTGTAGATCCCTAGTATGGTAGCTTAAAGCTGAATCCCTTAACAAGAACCCAGAAATCCCTTGGGTTTTCGTTCACCTTCGGTGCCACTCCTTCTTCGGGTCCCCTGTTTTCAGAGGAGACGCTTGGGGGCGGCCTCTGGAGGTGCCTTTAAGGAATGCTAGAGGGTCCTAGAGCAGGGTCCTCTTTAAGGGTAGCTATGAGGGCTCTAGAACAAGACCCCCTTGTTTTCCCAAACTCTCATGCGGGCTTTAGGTTTCTGCTTCGGGAGGAGGGGGCGGGCGAGGGGTTTTTGTTGGGGATCTTTTGCAAAGATTGCTGCCTAGAGTGCGGAGGTTGCGAAGGGCGGGGTGGTGTCCAGCGTGAAGATTGTTTTGACATGCTCTCAGCGGATATAATTATAAGGCATAATTAGTGGCATAGTGTTTATCAGTCGTTGTTGAGGTTCGTGGAGTACTTGGGTGGAGAGTGTCCTCTTGTACATGACGAGACACGCAGCCGCGATGTCGCTACGAACATAAATGCGCGCCCGAGAGACACCAACAACTCCCCAACAAAGCAGCTGATCTAACATCGAAACCCTTAAACCCTAAACCCCAGACCTCAAACCCCACATCTAACACCGGAACCCTTCAACCCCAGACCTCAAACCCCACAATGACACCGAGAACGAAGTCCTGGCAGCCAACTTCCCGTCCTCAAATCGGCTCTCCAGCTCCTTTGCCTGACATAGGGAGCTCTTGATTCTTTCCCATGCCAAGTCTTCAGATTGTAGTCGGGCTTAAGATGTGTGTATATATATATACTATATATATATATATAATAGATAGATATATATATATATA